GGTGTGTGAGTGCGAATATGTAGGAAGGGGGGGGGGGTTAGAGTTGGGGATAAAAAGAATGGATTTGGATTTCTGGGATGGAGGGTTCCGGAGGGTTGGGTCGGTGTGCTTTGTGTGGGCGGATGGGTGGATGGATGTGAGTGAGTGTGAGTGTGGATGGGGAGATGGGTGGTGGTGCGTGCCGTGGAGTGACTCGAGCGGGTTGTGTGGTTTACGGCGATATGTTCATCGATGTATCGCGAGGATGATATATATAGGTCCGATCTTGTTCTTCGCCCTCATCGCGACTCACTTCCTCCTACCATCACGACCCAAGAAGCCTCACAATCTCACTACTCCCGATCCTCACCGCCGGATCCCTCTCCAACATCCTCCCAAGCAATTCTTTCTCAGCATCCCTACTACCGCTCAACGACGTCCTCAGCTCCTCGATACTATCTAACCACGCCACCATTTCTTGCTTGACAGCTTCATCTTCAAATACGTGGGGCAGGATCCAGGAGCCTGTGGGTAGAGGGATGTATCCGAAGCAGAAGAGGAGGGTGACGCCTAGTCCCCAGATATCGGAGGCGTGGGATTTGTGGCGGTGGAGGAATTCGGGGGGTGCGTAGGGGGGTGTGCCGGAGGGGGACCAGATGTTGAGGGAGGGGGAGGGGGAGGTTGATGAAGAGGGGAGGGTGATGGCGGCGCCGAAGTCGAGGAGGACTGCGTGGGGTTGTGGGTGTTCTTCTCTTTGGGTAGGATGGAGAGAGGGGGAGAAGAAGATTATGTTTTCTGGTTTGACGTCGTCGTGGATTATGTTGCAGGTTGAGTGCAGGTGAGATAGGGCTGACGCGATTTGGGACCAGATTGCGAGGGCGTCGGAGTGGGAGAGGGTGCAGATTGAGGTTTTTGGGTTGATGTATTTTTCTAGGCTGTGGCCGGCTTCATGGCGGAGGGTTATCGTTGGTGGGGAGGGGGTTGAGGTTAGGAGTTGGGATATATTTGGCTGTTTGGGAGTGTAAGTTGGAATGGAAGTGACTTTAGGTGGAAGTAGGCTATGTTTTGGGGAGGTGGAAGCGGGAAGGTATGGGTGTATGGTAAGTAGGTAGGTAGGTGTAAATGGTACGTACGTGACCTCTGGCGAGGTTGAGAGCTTCGACTTCTTTGCGCCAGCGGTGGTGGGTTCTTGGGGTTTCGGGGAAGTTGAATCTTTTTATGACTGCTGGAAGGTTGTTGTATGTCGTGGACTCGATTACAGAGTGGTATGTTGTTGCGATTATATTTGAGGGCATGTTGATTGGGTTGTCGATTTGGGAACTCTCTGTTGCGGTTTCCATGGTTGAGCTGGGACAGACATTCAATGGAATTCTGCCTGATTACCACAGGAACTGACTTCTGTATTAGTACTCGTTACAAGATGAGACCTTGGTATCGGACGATATTGGATGTCAGATGCCAAGGTATTTGAGGAAAATGAACTGGCGCGGCAAGGCCGAAGAGATGCCGTTTTCGGGCTCAAGTGCGGGGTGACTCACGCCGATAGTATCCTGCGGGATGTATCCACCCGGGCCGCTGTGGAGCACCCGAGTCCGGGGTACTTTCGGATGAAGCGGCACTCCACGGGGAGTCGGTCCGGACGCCAAAGGTAACGTCAACCTACCTGACCTTACGTTGCCTACGGTAGACATAGTCTTGGATTATCCGTACTGCAGGCGATTTCTCGTGCGCATAGCATGACAAGGTATGCTCTGCATGTATCCCGAACCACCGCCAGTCAGCTTTAGCCATCATGCAGGCAACCAACGGGCAAACCAACATGAGCAGCATCCCGACCAACCGGCCGCATAGGATAACCGCCCAGCTTCAACCAATAGTTACGGCACAGCCCCATAAACACGAAGATCATAGCCCCTCGGATGTTCCCCTCATTTCTTGCCATTGCGTTCTCACCCCCAGCCCGACTTTTTACCAATCTTTGTCTTTCTTCTCCTCTCACGACTCAACAGCCAAAACTCGCTCCTGTTTCACACAACCAACAAATTTCTCAGAAACAGAGGCATCACTCGCGATGGCTGAAGCCCTCGGGGTAGCTTCAAGCGTCATCGCTGTCGTCGAATTGACAGGGAAAGTCGCAGGAGCCTCGATCAAGCTCGTCAACCTGTGGAAAGAGATCAAAAATGTCCCAGATGCGCTGCTTGAGAAGGCCGAGCGGCTCAGGGACTTTGAAGACTTTCTTCTGGAGACAGAGAGCCAGGCTGCCGATAGTCCTATGCCCCAACGAGCTTGGAACAGTGCTCTCTTGCAAAAGTATATCTCCAGAACCCGGGCTGCGTTGAAGGACCTGCAGGAGACGGTCGATCAGCTGTACGCCCGGGTCACAGATCCACGAAAGTTCAAGAGAAATCTGGCATCGACAAAGGCCGTTCTTCGAAAGGAGGACCTTTCTGCTTTGGACTCGAAGCTCAATTTGGCGTTGGAGCTTTTCAAGCTGGCTCGCGAGCAGTATTTGACGCATGTGAATTCTTTCACCAATCACTCTACTAGGAAGCTGACTGTCTTTACCAAGATCACTGATGTCATACTCTGTGATGCTTCAATTGCAGCAGTCGTCTGATATTAGGTCTATTCAGATGTCCTCTGGAAAAGTCGCTAGTCGAGGTCAAGCTGAGGACACCTCGGTTGACTGCGGCACGAACACCAACCAATCCCTTTTTCTTAAAGCGCCAGCAATGGCGAACTTTTCCCACAGACGAACCATGATTGGCAGGATCGGCCTATCTTGGAAATCAGACGTCGGCTACAAACTGCACGCGCAGCCACCTAGTTGGCTTACGGGATCAGTATATTCCGTCCTGGCGCAGAAAAGCTTATGGGGCTGGCAGCTGAGCCTCAGATCTTACGAAGTCGTGGAAGATCTTGACGGCGAATTATTTACAGACATCCGGAATGATGACTGTCCTGCATTGTTCAAACGATTGCATGATCAATCTATGTCACCGTTCGTTCGAGTAGGGAATGGATCAACTTTGCTCGAGGTATGCTTCTTGCTGCTCTCATCCTCCTGATTGAGACGAAGATTCTGACCCGACATTCTTGGCAGTTTGCGTTTCAACAGGGCTCTTTGAGTATAGTCAAAAAGCTACTAGAGTGCGGTCTAGGATCGTGTGTGCTAGAGTCTTCAAGATACAATAGCAGGTGAAGACAACCGTCTCTTTATCTCACTTCAATCCTCTGACAATTGATAGCTATCCATGGGTTATCGACTCGTTGGCATGGCTCTGTAATTTTAAAAGAGTAGGCTGTGGGAGAATACATACAGCGCTTGTCGAACTTTCGAAATATGGCCTGGATGATTTTCTAGAGGGCCCTGAAGTTTTTGACATCTATTTCGAAACGTTCCCAGCGATCGCAGGGTTTCGAATTTTGTTGGAATATGCGGGTCGCCGTCGTTACCAATCTTTTCCATTCAGAAAAAGGCTGCAACATTTCCGGACAATAGTCTGGATGGCCCCAGATGGTCAGTTATCTTTGGATGAGTTATATTTCCTACTGCCAGAGACTAAGAATCTCACCATTGATGATCTCGTGTCATCACGATCAACGGGTTATTGCTCCCTCTTTCACTCATTGGCTTATGGCTTAGTCCGCCAGACTGCTAAGTCGTACGCGATTGACCGAGAACCAATGTCACAGATTCAATGGTGCGGACTTCTCAGAACCTGCCTCCAACTTGACCCCGCTGGTCTTTATCATCTTGAAGAAGCCGAATTCTGCTGTTACGCACCTGTCAGAATTCAAACCCCGTTCTCATTTCTACTTGAATATGCCCCGCATTTTATGATTAATTTTGTATCAAGCGGTCGATGGCCCTCATTTCTCCAACGTATACAGAGGATAATGTCAGTTTGGCTGGATGTTTTGACCTTGAATGGCACTGATCTCTTAGAATATGGCCGCAAAGAAAGACGGCTTTATGATGAAGGCCTGATACTTCAGCATACGTATTACGAACTTTCTCACGTGTCGTATGGGCAACGTCTCCTTGGTATTACTTATGGAAAATCGAAAGATGATTGGAGGTTTTGGTGGGTTGCCGAATATGAGCATTATGTAGGCGACTTTTGGGAAATGGTTCATCAGGTGGATCTGGACGTGAAAGTCCCTGGCAGCTGGGTAGACGAGTGCGATTATGATCATTATAGTCCCTATCGAGAGGAGAGACCAAGAGGGTTATGGTTCCTCGAGGAGCACATGCCGTTGATATGGTCTGAACATCGTGAGGTAAAAGCACCGCTCTGAGTATGAGAATGGAAAACTCCCCGACTTTACTAGCTTAAGGAATCAAAACGAATGAGCCCGAGCTCCGAGTAGAAATCACATGGCACGGCATACACATGAGAGAGCTAAACGATACCATCATTGTCTATTGAGTTCGTGCCTGAACAGGGAGTGACTTGGACCAACACGCAAAATACCGCGGGATTGTAAGCAAGATGCGACGGGCTGAGCGACATATGGGACTGGCAACATTTCTAAGTACAAGTATACACTGACAAATGCAGAGAACACTTCAGCCCAGTTCGCTTCTGCATCACATAGCTCACGCTCTTCTTTTCGTACACTCGACAGCAAAATGATACCCGAGGCTATTGCGATTTTATACAGGGAGTGATTTCTGCATGTAATCGAATCATTGACTAGGTAGATATTGGTGTTTGGTTTCCAACAGTCTCCAGATTCTGTTGGTTGGGTCCTGGACCCGGCCGGTTTGCGGATTCCAAGCCAGCATTGGCTGGCAACCTACCACCCATGTCAAATCATGCAGTTTTGCCGCCGAGGCAGCAGGCCCGTCCCGCTGCATATTAATGACTGCGCCGCAAGACAATGACAGGGTAGGTTTCTTGTATAACTGGTCTCCCTCGCAGCCGTAATGCTTGCACTTAAGAGCTGAGCGCCTGCAGACTGTTACTCCGACCGCTTCGCCGTCGACGTTCGGGAATGCTCGGCCATCGACAGCCATGGAGATCGCAGCAAGCAGTATCGCCTTCGTTCAGGCTGGCGTCGGCACGGGAAAGGCCATCGTCAGAGCCATTCGAATGTGGGAGCAGGTCAAGCAGCTCCCCAACGACCTCAGAGCCCGACTCAAGAGGCTGGAATCCCTCGAGCCCATGCTGCGTCACATCGAATCCGACTTTGCAAAGTACCCGGAACTACGCTTTCACCCAACCGCCCAGCAATGTCTCGCTTATGCGATGGAAGTCGAAGCTACCATGAAGTCTCACGTAGAGAAACTCGAGGGGAAGATCCAGAAGCCTAGCAGCAACTTTAGAAAGCGGGTCAACTCGTTGAAGATCATAACGCTGAAGAAAGAGGAGATTTCCATGCTGGAGAGTGAGCTTGCTTGGGCCATGGAATCTTTGCAGCTTGCCATCACTTACTTCCACATGCAAGTTATATTTCCCCTGTGTCTGCCTGATGATCCACTGATCGTTACTTGAATCAGGGCGAAGAGCGAGATATCTGAGCAGCTTGTGATCAAACAGACCTCGGATCGAATCAGAGAGTATAGCATAGCGTGCCAGGAGGATGTGGTGAAAAAGACGGCGCAAGCTGTCGCCAATATGATCAAGACTCGGGAGGAAGTAGATCCCAAAGTCGTTGACGCAGGGTCTGGAAAGGTGCTTCCTGCGCCCCCAAAGCGAAAACCAACCATGGTCATGAAGTCTGGAGCATTTGGGCGATACTCATTCCAACGCTCCAGGAGCAACGACGGATGGACCGCTTCATTGCAGATACCGTGGTCTCAGTGCGTGAGAGAACTGAGATGGACAGGGTGGCAGTATCGTTTTCACTCTTACAACATCAGATCAGACTCATCTGCAGTCTTTGAAACTGTTAGAAATGGAGATCTAAGGCGGCTGGTAAACCTTTTCAAGACGGGTGAAGCAACCCCATTCGATAGGAACGAATCCGGTAAATCACTTCTATATGTAAGCAATCCGAATGCTTCAAACTTTTCCGCCGGATCTTTGTTGCGAGTGGCTCACGAGAAATTCAGGTAGCGGCTAAATACGAGAGACTTGAGGTCTGCCAAGTCCTCATACAGCAAGGCGTACTTGCCGACGATGAGCGAGAAAGCTACGGCGGGTTCGGCATCCCTATCCATAATCACTTCACTTTGAACTGCAACTAACCATAATTTGGATGTTCTGAAGAACCCCAATAGATGTCATCGTACGATCTCGAACCAATTTCGAACGGAAAGATGATGATGCCAACCACCGGGCCATCGTTTCCCTTTTCCGCAATGCCGCCCAAAGCACCCTCACACTAACCCTCGAACGCCTATTTACCTTCATGGCGGAGTACACGTACGGCGATGAGTACATCCGAGTATACTATTCCAAATTTCTCACCGATTACCAAATGCGCTTCTCTTTGAGCGACCGTCTCGAGGCAGTGAGGCTTGCCGCTTTCATCGTCCGCGAGGATACAACGTATTTAAATCTCCTATCCTCCGATCACACCATCTCACCAAGCGATGTTGAGAAGAGCGATGAATACGGCTTCTCGCTGTTGCATTCCGCAGCAATAGCCACCGGGATAAGACTCGCGGACGAACTGCAGTTTGACCGGCGGATCTTACGGCCGCGCACTTACACATCCGCCTGGAGTGACGTTATCATCAAGACCTTACGAAGCTTGCCCAACACAATGAGCCTATGTCACGTCGAGACTGTCGTCCCGTGGGACTGGTTCGTCGTACCTGTTTGGAAAGCCACTCCCTTAATATCTCTTCTCGGTGGCGCCTTATGCCGAGTATCGCCTCACCTACCTTTGGAAGAATGGGACGATGTCTTCCAAGCTGTACTCAAACAATGGCTCCGAGACCTAGTATCTGCGGGCGTTGATCTACTTACGTACGGGGAGCAAGAATCTGAGACAATGAGGATCACACATCCTGAAGTGAAGGGGGCTTTTGACAGCGATGCCATCAACCTTTCCCGCAAAGTGGTCAGGAACCCGCTACAAGCGTGTAGTGAGCCCGGGTGGATGACGAAGGTGGAAAGAACCTTTGATAGGAGTGATCGATATTGGAAACCAGTGCGGATCATCAGTCTCGACTATGGTCCAGACGTCGATGATTGGAGGGTTCACTGGGTCGTTGAGGTCGAGGCGTTTGCTGGTGAGTTTTGGAGGGTTGTGGAGTCACCTCGGGTCGTTATGCCGGGTAGTTGGATTGACTAAAGAGATCCAACGAGATCTCGATGCATCCACTTGCCACTTTTGATACTCGCATCGATACTCAACGTGCTTCCTCGAAGCTGCAAACCGGATCGATGGCCACTTAGTCGCCGGGAATTTGCCGCGCGGAAAGGCCCGCAGTCGCGGCTGCCGGCCGGGACTTGCTCGGCCCCACCACAACACCCCACTAAGATGCGCAGGCGGACAGGAGCTCACCCCGCGTCTTCGTCATCCTCGTGCACCCCAAGGTTCCAAGCTCCCAAGTCGTCCCAGTGCGGGGCAGATTGGCTCACTTCAACCTCTCCTAGCTCCAGCCTTATCCAAAGACACAAGATCCGGCATCACTCATCAAGCCCGCCAATTATCCGTCTCGATCTCTGCTCTGATTCTCTCGTGCCCTGCTAGCCACGTTAGCTTATCTAAAGCTATGGCGTCCGGAGACACCCGCCCGCCGGGCAAACAGGGAGAGTGGTACTTGGGCGACCCTTCAAGTCTGAGAGAGCAGCTCGATGACTTTCTCTCCGACGTGCCCGATCAGATAGAGGATCATGGCTTGCCTGTCCCTGGCGCTCGAGTCATCATTGCCCCGTGAGTTCAACATCCCGGTCTTTCCTGTCTACGATGGATTGCAATCTACGAGGACATGTTTACTAAAGTGTAATGCCATTATAGCCATGCCGGCTACACATACTCAGGTGCTACGGCAGCCTGGGCGTATAAGGCTCTCGACCTCAGCAAAGCCAAACGCGTATTCCTTCTTGGACCCTCTCATACCTTCTACCTCGCAGGCTGCGCAGTCAGCACATATCAGAACTACGGAACACCATGGGGAGATCTCAAGGTGGACGAGGAAGTCACGGGCCGTCTCATCGACGAGCTCGAAATCCCCGGTATCCCGAGATCCAACGATAGAAAGGAACACTCGCTAGAGATGCACTTGCCGTACCTTTGGGTCCGCCTAGAGCAGACATTCGGTTCGCCCGAGAATTTCCCGCCCGTCGTACCGATCCTCATCGGCGATAACAACAAGGCCGAAGAGAAGGAGGTGGGCAAGTGGCTCGCCGAGTACATCAAGGATCCCGAGAACGCCTTCATCGTCAGCTCCGACTTTTGTCACTGGGGTGGACACTTCGACTACACAATCTACTGTCCAGACGGGACGCTCGATAGCAAGGAGAGGCTCTACGAGTATGGCCCCAAGCCCGACGGACCGCCTATCCACGAGACTATCAAGATGGTGGATGACCTGGCGATCGAGGCCATAAAGACTGGAAAACACAGCAGCTTCTACGACAACCTCAAGCAGACCAAGAACACGGTGTGCGGAAGACACCCGATCGGAGTGACAATGGCGGCGCTCGAAGAGCTGGGCGACCACCGGTTCACGTTCATCCAATACAATCGCAGTACCCTCGTGACGCGACCGAGGGACTCCAGTGTGAGCTATGTTTCCGCCTACGCAGTGGTATGAAGGCATAAGGGCGATTACAGCATCAGTAATGAAGGGAGGGCAAGGGAAGAGGAGAGGGCGTTTTCTGTATCGATTTCATGGCAGTCGGGCGAAGGCTAAGAGGGTTTGGGCGTGACAAGAGGAGTTTTAATGGCTTAGACACGAGTTTCACATCATTTCCCAAAGCAGATGGAAAGATATAAGGCAAAGAAGCTTCTTCAGCTTCTGGTAGCTCTAGAATTGAGATCATTGACAACACCGTCCCAAGTGCCGGAGGTCAAAGACACGGGCCCGGAAGCCAGGTGACCAGATGGCTTCAAGTGCTGGATGAGTAATGCTTGGGGAGGGGGGGGGGACATCAGTAGGTAGGTATGCATAATCCTCGAGGTCTGATGTTGCTGACGAGCAGGCCACGACTGAACTAACGGGCCTGTTGCGGACGAAAGCATGAATCCAAAGCGGACCGAAGAAGCGGAAGGGAGGGCCGCCGTTTGTCTCGATTCCCACTCCCCTTCCACCTCCACCTTCCTTTCCCCCCCGCCCGCTTCGGGATGATGTAGATGCGGATACTGAGATTCCAGCGAGAGAGAGAAAGAGAAGAGGGTCAATCCTGGGGCCGTTCGGTAGCACAGCCCTACGGTCTTCACGGAACCGGCTGGCGGTGCGGCGCTAAGGGAGGCAGAGGCGGTGGATTTGTGGGTGGGTACGGTGTCAGCTTCCGCCCAAAGCGGAACGCATTGCGGATCTTTTGGGCAGCCGTGGCAGCTTGTGTTACTTGCCGTAAGTGCCAACGCAGCGACTCTTCAGGCTAGGTCGGTGTTGCTGCAGGAATGTGAAGGGCTTAAAGCTTCTTATTCAACTTGAGGAGGGGGTTTCTATTCCAAGCTGTCGTTCGGCAAGGTTGCCGAGTGATGTCCAGGTTTGTCTTTGGATATGAACCCCGCGCGATATGGTTATTTGCTTGTGAAGCCAAGAAATGACTGGAAGAAATAATGGCTTTCTGACCTTATGATATTCTGGACGGCCCGTGATGGAGTGAGAAGGATATTCCCCGTTGATGACGGTGAGGAGAGTTTCTTGCGGAAGCCAGATCTCGACTAGACTCTAGTTGGGGGGTTGATCAACCGAAAAAGGACCAAGGGAGGACGGAGGACGGTCATCCTGGGGCTGAAGGTGCTGTAGAATGCGGATTGGCCCAGAGAAAATGAGCCGGCGGCGGGATGGCTTACGGATCGCAGGAGAAGGCTGTGTTGATGGCAACACGATGGGGTTTGCCGAAAAGTGTAAACTAAGTAGATTGCTTGCTTGGGAGGGTTTTCTACAGCTGGGTTCCTTGGCGAGCTGAGTGAGGCTTGTTATTCCCCTCTTTCTCTGTGTCTATAACTCATGGATATCATGTCTCTGTTTGAGGCGGTGGATTGCGTCTTGGCACTTTGCCAAAGTTGTTCTTGCTGGAATTCTCCATAGTAAGCTGTTAGGCAGCTATGTTTTCCCTACTGCTCGCCGATAGTGGTTTTCCTTGATTCCTTGAAGGAATGAGAAGGCTTTGAGGAAAGTGGGCTGGTTGTAAGCTGAACTAACCAGCCTGCTGATAGCCTGATGGCGAGCTTACGGCTTGCATGGAACCGAGTCTAATTGGGGCGAAGGAAGATGAGGCCTTGCCGGGGGGATGGTGCAGCTTTGGGTTGAGTGAGTGTTCCTGACACGATTACACGCCGCAGATCCGCAAGCAAAAATGAGGTGAATGAGTACCTAGCCCGAGGCAGTCCGAAGCCCGTTTTCCTTTCTCCCTCGCTAGGCGAGACTAGACAGCTCAGCCGTAGACAGGAAGGGGAGAGGGAGGGGAAAGAGGCTTGCAGTTGCATGTGTTAGTTTCGCGCTTCCGAGACCGTAAGCTGAGAAGCGAGCGAGCGGGGTGGTGTTGAAAGTGGCCGGAAGGATCGATAATTCCCTAGAGTTGATGGGCGATGGGATGATTGGGGAGCTTGTATGGATTGGTTGTTTAAGAGGCTGAAGTCCCCGTTTACCGGTTCGCGGTCGTGGTCGTGAACGTTTCCTCGCAATTTTCCAATTCTATTGCTCGGTGTTGCTTGTTTTTGATACCTTATCATTCGTAGGAAAGGCGCATCGACCTCCTCACAGGCGTCATCGCACCAAAAAAGTACCTAGACACCACTAAACTCGATCATCGGCGTCATTGCTTCGACCAGCCAGACTCGATTGCCTGTGACCCTAGCGACAGGTTCAGAACGGCTGCTGTGGAATTGATCGGCATTGCTGCTCCAGCAGGTTTATTCGACTGCAACCCACAAGAAAATCCCGTGTTCGCGAAGACTGAACAGAAAAAGCGGGAAAACGAGAAACGGGAAGACGGCAGCGAAAGAAACACGAGGTGTCCGGTTCCCAAACGAGTGGAGAGATCTGGATCGTCGAACGATTGATTGGCATTTCGCAACCTTTGCGCTGCAACCTCACAAACTGACGTCGCCACGCACGACGAAGAGCAGCGACTGTGAGATTTAGCTACAGTAGCTAAGCCTACCGCTACCCATCTGGCTTCGGCTGCTTCTATTCTTACCAGCCAACGAAACGCCGTCGAGCTGGGTGCAGTTGAAACCACTGCCACCACCACTATCAAGAGAAAGAGGAGACAAGACACACATTTGTGTGGACTCTCTTGAACTTTGAGGGAACCATTTCGATTGGCTCACGATTCCCGTCGTCAACATACCTGTCGACCTCTTCGCCTTCGACACCTCCATCGTAATCGCCTCTGAACGGGTCGTCACAAGCCACCAGGACGAGGCCCGCCGCATCATCAGAAGAGGCAGCCCTCTTCACTAAATTCAAGGTTAGCCTTTTTTGAAGAGTCCCGACAGTGGCACGAACGGACAGTCAGCGACACTTTGCAAGCATTAGGGAGCAAGTTGCACGTTGGAAGCCAATTCCAGAATAAGAAGGGTGAAAAAAGGAGGTATTGCTTCAGTCAGCAGCACCGACCGGCCAGCGAACACTTGATCGAAGCATCCATCGAGCCAATACCACCAACATCAGACAATCTTGAAGAAAGTCGCATTAATTTTAGGACGCCGGCATTGGACCATCTCCCGCCAGCGCCTCAAGTTTATTCGCCTCCATTCATCGCCCGCCGCTTGTTACAGTTACAGCGCACCCGAAGAAGAGAAGGCAAAAGTCCAAGCTTCAGGGTCCAGTCCTCGACACTCCTCGACCAATCACCTGCCGCTGACCGCACCCGCCTGAGTCGAGACAGCCCAGGCTCACTCACATTCTCACATTCTCACACGCCATTGAGGTAGTCTCACACAGCCCTGAAAACAGCGTTTTTTTTCAGGTTTTCTCACCTCACCAGTGTCACCACAGCCAACAGTGGGTGAGAGAGAGTGACAGACAACGACGTCCCCCCCCTTTCCCTCGCGTTGCATCGTCGGCCCCTGCCTCGATTGGGACCTTTTTCGTCGCATGCAGGTACCTCGCCAAGCCCGCCCTTCCACAAATACACTCACACTCAAATCTCATTCTCACTCTCACTCTCATCGCTCACTCATTCTTTCGGAAGAGTGTATATTGTAGCTTACTCATCCGACTCTGAGACGACGACGCCGTTGACGAACGAGGAAATTATAATCTCACAGACACACACTCACCCCAGGCGAGAAAAACACTAAAAAAGGAACGGCCCTTTCGTCAACCCAGTTTAAATAAAAAAACAACTGAGCACACTCACGCACACAAGCTCTCTACTCCATAGTGTGGTTGTTGCCAATAAGCCGGGGCCCCTCCAATCATCTCTCCTACTGGAGCCAGAAAGCTACCTAAACGGCGATCGTTCCGCAAGCCAGGGGCACCCCAAGCAGCGCGCCCCCGTTCCGAACAGACAATTCGAATTTCTGCTACAAAGAAGCGCTTCAAGCCACACGCTTAACGCCCACGTTCCTGCATCCAAGGCCCTGTGCAATTGTGGATTGTGGCCCATTCGCCTCGTCTCGCTTCATCGCCCCCCAGTCGACGACCATTGACCCAGAAAAAACGAGCCTGAGACTTCTGTCGTCCAAGCCTGAGAGCGACTCTGTGTGAAAGTCGTACCTGGACCTGGACTTGGACCTGGACCACACCGTCACTTTCGACGCTACAACCACAACGCCAATTCATCTCATCCGCCGCCGCCCCCCCTTCTTCTCCTTCGCCCTTTCTACCCGTACTCAACTTGCTTCTTTTTCTGCCACAATCAACAAAACATCAAATCAAAAGGCCTTACACATCTTCCTACCTACCAAAGCCATCGCGCGCGAGACCACGACGACGTTCATCCAACAAAGCAATACTACAATACATTGCATTCGCCCCTGAGCGTCTACCAACCTCGCATCATCGTCGCGCAAGGAAGAAGCCTTCGCGCTTCGCAGAAGCAACATGAGTGTCAGTGTTTCACCCCAACCCTCGCACTTCCGGTGTTTCGCCCGCCCGTCCTCGCCTTGTTCAACCCTCACTCTGCACGCTGCCCTGCCCTACCAACGTTGCATTACGTCCTGTCGTCCTCTTGTCAATCGCACGTTGCTGCGTTGCCCTTCCCTTCTCGAAGTCGAGAAAGTCCACCCGTTCCCGATCCCGTTCCCGTTGCCTTGTCCGCACACTCTTCGCGAAGCCGCAACATCGTAAACTTTGACTTCCTGCGATCACCAACCTTCTTTGCACATCATCATACTTGCTTCAGCCTGGTTGCGTTGCATTTGCCCATTTCGACTGCTCTTCCTTGTTGACGATTGACGTCTTTCTTTTTACCCTTTCATCCATCCTACCTCCCCTAACCTAATTGACCCGACCGTTCTTCCTGCCACCGATATTCGTCGAAGAAAACTAACATAATGGCGCAGTACGGGTATGTTTCTCTCTCCCATGGAGCCGACGGGACACACGACGACGAGTACGACCTCTCCGAACGCGGAATACTGACAGACGAGCATAGATACGGTGGTCGTCAAAACCCCTTTGACCAGCGGGACGATGGTCCCGGTGGAGGATACGGAGGAGGAGCTCCTGCCAGAGGTCCTCCTCAGCAGGGCTTCGGCTCGGGACCTTCTCCCTACGGCGGTGGTGGAAACAGAGGATACAACCAGGGACCAGCTATGGGTAGGGACCAATATGGTACGACCTGACCGCGACGGTCGTACGCGCTCTTTTGCTGACATTTGTCTGTCCGACCAGGCGCCAACGTCGAGATGGAATCCCTCGCCCAGAACGCCAGCGGCTTCGGCCAGTCATCGGATCCTAACGCCATCCTGAATGAGTGCCGATCCATCGACCAAGGAATCGACGAGATTGAGGCCAACCTGAACCAGCTGCGCATGCTGCAGGAGCGTACCCTGACCGATGCCGACACATCAGCAAACTCATCGACGGTCCGCCAGCTCGACGCCCTCTCCTCCGAGACGATGACCCTGTACCGCGGCCTTACCGATCGCGTGCGCCAAGTCAAGTCCTCGCCCGATGGCCAGTCTGCCCGAAACTCGCCGCAGGTCGGCCGTATTGATCGCCGCCTGAAGGGTGCTATCCAGCAGTACCAGCAGGTCGAGTCGGCTTTCCGCAAGCGCACCCAGGACCAGATGGCCCGCCAGTACCGCATCGTTCGCCCTGATGCCGACGAGCGAGAGGTTCGCGAGGCGGTTGAGGATGCTGGTGCCGGTGCCCAGATCTTCCAGCAGGCCGTGATGCAGAGCGGTCGCCAGGCCCAGGCCAACGCCGTGCTCAACGCCGTGCAAGATCGCCAAGCCGCCCTGCTGAAGATCGAGCAACAGCTGAACGAGCTCGCACAGCTGTTCCAGGATATGGACACATTGATTGTGCAGCAAGAAGCCGCCGTTACGCAGATCGAGCAGAAGGGCGAGGAGGTCGTTGAGAACCTTGATAAGGGCAACCAAGAAATCGGAACTGCAATTACCACCGCCAAGGCAACCAAGAGGAAGAAGTGGTGGTGCCTGGGTATCTGTGGTAAGTCTACGTTTGCTGTGGAGTGGTCGGGATATCTTGCTAATTGTCTACAGTCCTTATTATCATTATCATCGCTGTCATCGTTGCCATTTACTTCGCTATTATCAAGCCCGGTCAGGCTGCTCCGGCTCCCGCCACCACCGCCCGCGCGAAGCGCAACATTGGCATGCTCGAGCTGCCCGACTTCTCGAACACGGTCCCTGTCGATACTGGCGCCGCGCACCCTCAGATTCTGAAGACGACGAGCCGCATCATGCGCCGCATGGTTCAGCAGGGAGCTACCTGGGAGCCGACCGCCACTGTACAAGACTCCGCCGTCGTCGCCCGCTTCGGCGGCAAGGTCGACATGCCTGCTGTCCGCAACTAGACGGCCCATCGTATTATTCCCGACTCTGTACAAAATACTCATCATACCATACCGCCTTTATCCACCGCCTCATAACACACTTGAGGCTTCTCCAACACCACCAGTATACCGTCCCTCCGACTCGACGTCTGGATTGATTTCTCACTACCATTACCCATTAAGAGCTTCTCGCCGCTTTTTATAGACGGACGGATTATATGGAAGGTTAATTTCATATCTCTTTTTGCTGCTGGGTAAGGGGCAAACCAAACACGAAAAATGAGGGGAAAAGAGTCCTGTGGAGCCCAAAGCTAAAAAGGACCACAAACTTATCTCGTAGGGTGTTTTTGTATACCCATAACCAGACTTTCTTTACTTGTTCAACCAAAACCATCCGTGCTTCCTCTTTTCTTGTGTTGCGTCTTGGATTCGAAAGGTTCTCCTTTTTTTCGGATTCTTCGAGAGGAGGCAAAAACTATCGAACACACTTGTGCGGGCGTTTTCTAGCTAGCTTACCTTTTGCCTGCGACTCTGATCGTTGTGTGCTCCTTTTTTACAGTTTTATTTGTTGCATCAGGGGCGTTGGCATGAGTGGTTCGTAAATATAGTCACCTTTTCAAACTTGACGCTTTTAATACTTGAGTATTTAGTGATGTCTTCACGGGATGTCGTTGTCGTAGTTCCGCAAAACTGTGGTCAACTATGAGTGTGCTATTTGTGAGGTTGCCCGTATGTACGAGCTGAATGAGGGTTTGATGCCCTTCTCAAGATGAGTCACAGCGACGGAGCATCCGAGTTATGTGCACTTTCCAGAGGGCTTTTGTATTAATTCTCGGTTTTCTTGTCGCTAATGAGACACATGTGCTTGGGACGAAGTCATTTGACGTGCTCATGATCCTCGATACGCGAACACTGTATACGAGGCAAGAAAAACCAGCTTTATGATTCCAGTTGTATCTGAACTAGACTATTGTTCCAACTTCCTCCACCTACCGTTATGTTCATTAGCGTTTGGGATCGAATAGATGAGTGGCTTTTGTCTTCTTACTTATTTTCTCAGTACTAATATTTTCAACGCTTTTTCAAATTTCATGCCTCCATACCGAGAACCCAAATCGAGTCCATTACCTAGCCCTTGGTCTTCACTGGAAACAAGCCTTTTTTGAAAGCCTTCACTGCTGAAGAAGGGGGCCCAAGGGCATTCATGTACAACCAGCGAGTCTCCGTCTTATTTTTAAGAAGATTACAAAGGCACACGCTCTTTAAATGGCTCTTTGATTGAACCACAGAACACAAATACAAAATCTTCCAACTGTTGGTCCAACGCCGCTCGGTCAAGCTAATAAATTCGACAGCCCTCGACTCGAAGAAGTTTAGAAGGCGAGTGGAGGTTGGCGGCCCGGTGGGATAGTTTACAAAATGGCTTGCGCTGACTGGTCGACACTCGTCTCTGTTAGCCTGTGCGTGGTCTCTAAAGACAAACCGTAGCTAGCGCAGAACTAGGTGTATTTGTTCCTCCATAGTCAGAATAATTACCTCCAGAGTTGTTTGGTAATCCGTAGAGGTATCCGTAGTCCCTGCCAATTTTCACGCCGCGCGGGTATTGTGTAAGTATTCAGGGCGTGCATTGGCTGGAGATCCTTTGGGTTCATCATGTTTTCGAAGTGTAAGTCAAGTGAGCTGCTGTGATGCCGTAGTCGATGAAGGCTGTCCTCGACGCTCCACGCACCAGCAAGAGATGCCCGGATTGATTTCTCATTGACCAGGGCTACATGGGAAGTTTCTGAACACAGAGACGTACTCTGTAGTCAAATGACTTGGAACTTGAGACGATGGGGGTTTTTTTTGCCGTGAGTACAAGTAAGTGTACTACCTACTCAATCTGCGGTACGTATGAGATATCCCTTGTGATCTAGGTTTTACCTTAAGTCTTTGTAGCGTATAACGTTAGTTTCCCATCAAGTTGTCGTCCTTAGTCAACAATGGGATGGGGATAGGTCATGTTTCCGGAAACCCCAAAGAAAGTCCCGTAATTTCTCAATAACAATTATGGACTGTCGCATAACCGAGTTCAACTTTTTAGACGTTGGCACTCAAAAGACGCTGGCCCATAAAAACACATTCTTAGACATTGCGTCACGCGCGCGGTTGCTTCGCCACGACTTGTAAGCCTCTACTTCCCTTGAAGAGATCTGGAGGCCATGGAAACACTGCAATATTGTTCACTAGACACTGAACATAGAGATTATCTAATAGCTAGATCCGTAATAGCCAAGCCACTTTTGTCAACTCTACTGTACCAGCCTACCTCGTAGACACGCCAAGACCAGAGCGCGAAGCTCACGGCTGAATGGCATGTTTATGTTGCGAGGATACGTGATAGGGGTCACAATGTACGTTCACGCTAGAGACATATTGTCCCGTAATTACCTGGATTTCAAAGCAAAGTTGGTTCCTCTTTACTGGATTACAATCTGCTTACAAACTTGAACAAATTGCCAAGAGTTGAAGCTATCGTGACTTGTAGGCCTGTAAGTTGCAAAGAAGGCTTCAAGTTATAGGCTCCATGATTCTCGCATCTCGGAAGTTTCATTCTTCAGACCAACACCTTCACCGTCAGTCTACAGTTCATCTCATCTCTCACCACATCTTCCTTCTCTCTATCCATAATCAAACTCCTATCTCAACCTCAATCTCATCGCCCAACATGCTCTTCACCAAGCTCTCCGCCCTCACAGCCCTCCAGCTCCTCTCCCTCCCCGGTGCCCAAGCCCAAACCAACAACAACGTTTCCGCGCCCACCACCACCGTCCCATTTCCACCTGCGACCCAGGTTACCCCGTCTCCTCCGCCGAGCAATCCATAATCTTGACAAACTTCCTCCGCAGATTCTATCTCGAAAAGGACGTCTACCGCGCCGGGCGCGAACACATCCTGCCCAACGCAATCAACCACAACCCCAACGTCAACGGCGACCGCGACGCCAGCCTGGCCTGGGTTGCACCCCTCATTGCCGAGTGGAATGTGACTATTACCAACACCGGGTTCGCGGATAGCGTCGGGTGGAGCCATGTTAAGGTTGAGGGCCCCGGGATGGGGCGGTATACTGTTGCTGTTGATATCTGGCGGTTCGAGGGGGGGTGTGCTGCTGAGCATTGGGATGCGTTGCAGTTTGCGCCGCCGGCGAATAGGACGAACCCGTTGGAGTTGATTTGAGGTTGCCTGGCTGAGATGGCTGAGGCGGATGTGCCCAAGAACTAGAGGTTTGGCAGACTAGACTGTGTTCACGGCGAGATGGAATCCACATAGCTTGGTATTCGCACATAAGGCTAAGTCATAGGTATCAGAGGAGCAGACAATATACTGGTAATAAATGGAGTATCCGCTGTCTTCATAAAATCACCAAAGAGACTGATCCTAGGGAATCAGATCGTTACCAGCAGACGTCGCTGACTTGTGTCTAGAGCATTGAACTGATGTTTATAACATTGGTGACAAAATATCCGGGCTCCAATCACATAGTCGGAGCCGAGTAACTGATTGTGTCGGTAAGGTGGGTTGGAGGGCTGGGGAAGTGCCACCTTCTACTCCAGCACTACGTCTACAATTCAACGTGTTCCTAGGGGGGGTTTACCAAGACCTCAGCAATATGAAAATAGAAGACGGCTTGCATGTCGGTAACTCTGGGCCAATCGGAGCTTGCTCGTTGAATTTAATTTTGATGTTCACTTGGCTACATGTCTCTAATTCCTTATACTACTTACCTAGACAAGCAGTTGGGGCTCTAGCCTTTGGCTCTCGAGCAGACCATCATAGCCAACTAGTTCCGGATATCCTACAATTTGGGCATCGCTAAGTCGACTATACAATTATGATACTTCGCTGAAAACAGACTCAATTCATTCAGCCGCGACAAAGCTTTTATATAGTACAGGTCTTCGAAGCTGTCCTGTTCCGAATCGTCAACGTCATTGCGAATGCCTCGTACTCTGTCGGGTGTAAGCGACACCATTGAAGAAAGCCGGTGGGATACCTCCAATTAAGTGCCGACCCAACGTCACACTGGGCAATCTTATATGCTGAACTCTATTCTAGCAAAGGAGTCTTTATGGACGTCCGAGGCAGCCGGTGAAGATGTAGTACTTAAAAGCTTCTCGCCGTAGTCGCACAAACTGTAAACACATGTGAGCGATCAACACTGTCTCACGTAATCTTCCTCGTCGCATACATACACACACAACATTTGATTCGTGGTCATGCTGAATAGCTCTTACTCGATGCAGCAGTTCACCAGGGCCCTATTGGGCGGCCTCTTATCAATCTCCCCCCTCGCAGTAGAAGGCTACTCGTGCTCCTCGCCCGCCGAAGCATGCCTGATCCTCGCCTCCACGCTGCCGCCTGAAGTGTTCACGGCACCGAACACGACAGACTATCAGTCGGTTCGGGACGGCTACTGGAGCCAAACCGCCGGAGGCCTGAGCCCGGCCTGCATCACACGTCCTAGGACCACCGAGGAGGTGGCGTCCATCGTCAAAGTGTTCTCGACCTGCGGCAACGATGTCCGACTCGCCATCAAGAGCGGCGGCCACGGCTCGTCCCCGGGTTGGTCCAGCACCGACGGTGGCGTCCTCGTCGCCATGGACGCCATCAGCGAGACCCAAAACGTAGCAGACAAGGGCTACGCTCTCGTCGGCTCCGGAGCCCGCTGGGTCGACGTGTACAAGACTCTCGAACCCCAAGGCGTGACCGTCATCGGGGGCCGCTTCGCATCCATTGGCGTCGGCGGCCTGCTCCTCGGCGGCGGCATGAGCTACTTCAGCGGACTCCACGGCATGGCGTGCGACAACGTGCTCAACTACGAGGTCGTCCTCGCCGACGGCACGGTCGTCAACGCCAACATGACCTCCGAGCCGGACCTCTTCCGCGCCCTCAAGGGCGGCGGGAACCAGTTCGGCATCGTCACGCGCTTCAGCCTCAAGACCTACCCGCACGCCAACCAGGTCTGGGCCGGCATCCTGACCTTCTCTCTCGACAAGGCCAAGGAAGTCTTTGCCGCCACGCAAGCCTTCAGCGCCAAATACGACCCCCAATCGCACATCTACCTCAGCATGGGAGGCGGCGCGAACCCGCAGCTGGACTTCCTCAACGTCTACGTATTCTACAACGCCTCCTCGCCGCCCGCGGGCGACGCCAGCCCCTTTGCGGGCTTCTACGCCGCCAAACCCACGGCAGACAGCACCGCCACGCAGAACTTTTCCGCCCTCATCACGTCCAACAACAATGGCAACCTACCGCTCAAGCGCTGGCTCATTGGCGGCCACACGTTTCCCAACCTCCAGGGGCAGCAGGGCGCGGATCTCTACCTGCAGCAGTGGCAGAACTTCCGCGACAAAGCCAACGCCACGGCAGCGGGCGACCAGGCGCGCATATTCTCCATGGCACTGGTTCCCGTCCCCGCGGCCGTCACGCGCGCCGGCAATCGTGTGGCTTCCGGCGGCGGCGTCAAGAACGTGATGGGGCTCGATGCGGACGCCGGGGACGCCGCGTGGGTTGACTACACGCTCGCCTGGGCGGAGGCCAAAGACGACGAGAGGATGTTTGGGTTCGTCGAGGGTATCAGTGCGGACGGTGACCGGCTGGCGACGTCTTTCGCGCCGGGGGTGAGGAGCTCGAATGCTGTTGAGGGGGAATGGGCGGTGTCTGCGGAGAAGGCGGCGTTTTATAGGACGAATCCGCGGTATATGAATTATGCGCTTTTGAACCAGCCTGTGCAGGCGAGTTATGGCGAGGAGAATGGGCGGTTTTTGCGGGAGGTGCAGAGGCGGTATGATCCTACTGGGTTGTGGAGGAGGGATGGTGGGTTTCTCTGGGAGTAGGTAGCTCTTGAGCTACTGATAGCCAAGACCCGAGGTATCGATGATAGGTACTGAAGCATATTGAAAAGTCGAACAAACGAGCATTCATCAATTCAAAGACCATTGTGTATAGTGAAGGCCTCAAAACAAGAGAGGTCGAGCTAGACTTCTGGGTTTGGGAGGGAGAAAGAGGGATCAAACCTCTGGATCCTATGCATTATTCACCTCAACGTGCATTGTTCTATCACTTTGGCTTTATCCTAGACCTTTAATCCCTCACTACTAGTCACACTCTCGCGTTAGAGGCTCTGTGGCTAATACAGAGACGACGAACAGCAATGCGTTACAGTGAGGGCTGAGTGCGATGGTGCTTAACCTTGGCCACCGATACTGTACAGCAGGCAAAAAGATGCCCTTCCCAAATATCACTGGTGTGATGAAGAACAATTCGCAGGAGGAGTCAGCACCAGACATGAAAGAAGGTCGCATAACAGCCATGAGACTTTGGAAAGGCTGCTAGTCTTTGCTACATTTATTTATAGCTGCTTCTGCTGCTGATGGTCACGTTGCCGTCGTCTTGGCTCGACCCAACATTCAAACATATGCCAACAGCCATGCGCCGCTTGCTCTTAGGAGAATCTCCGTCAGTGTAAGCAGCTAACGAGTCAATGTCGCATGTGTCTGGCAAGCTTTCCAAAAAGAAGAATCTCAAAGTATCGATGGCCATCATGAGTCGCTTTTTTATATAGACCAGGAGCACAACTTACCCATAGATGCGTTCCTTGCTTTCTGGCTAGCTGACGCTTCAACTGCGCTTTCCACTTTTCCTTCATCACAATCGTGTTGATATTCAAACTGAAGTGATTACGCATGGACTTGATCAGGAAGCAGCTGGAAAATAGGGAGAGTGGAGGAATACCGGTGCCTCTAGAAAGTCCATTGCGGTATCAATTGGACAAGAACATGTGTAACATGGTTTCACTTTCAATTATATATCTTGTATTCGGTCCGCCTGTCAAGGGCATATTGCAAGCTATGGTCGCTTCAGTCTCAAAAGTGGAGCATATTTGCTGCCATCAGAAGGTAGTTGGTAGAGAAAAGCACATGGACTCCAGATTCCCATCATGATTCGTGACTCGTGAATCGTACAAAGGTAAAACAACTCAACCGCCGTCGCCTCAGTCTGAGCTGACAGTAGGCCAGTCTACTGTCTTTCTCTGTAGCCCATCAGCATTCATGATCGGGGCTCGTATGCTAACGGCTCTTACCTTTAAACCTTGATATTACAAGTCTCGACTTCTCCATGGACCATGTCGGAGGCCCAATTGTGTAACTAGTAAATGGCCCAAATTCGATCAAAAGATGCACAGATGACAGCATCACTCCTCGGCCGGTTCAACCTCAGCATCGGAAGGCCTTGTCTCGCGCGCCTTCTCAGCGCGACCTTCGCCAGCCTTGACGACCCGCCGAAGGACGCTCATCTTGCGCTCGAAATCCTCTAGCAGTGGTCCGTACTCCTCGCTCCCAGACTTGGCCACGCCGCTATTAGAGCTGGGCAAGCTCTCGGCACGATCCTTCTCCTTGTCAGCCATCATTGTTGCGCCCTCGCTTTCGACGCCCTCAATCTTGAGCACCAGTCCGCCCTCCTTCTCGCCCTCCTGACGAGATATGCTGGCGTCGGTCACGGCAAAGTCTGCGCTAAGGCTAGCGACGGAGGAAACCTTCCATTGGCCGTCTTCACCTGGAACGACATCGAGAAGGACGGCTCGGTTCGGGTTCGGGTTCGGGTTCTTCCCGGGCCCGGATTTGGAGGTCGAGGCCGAGGGGGTCGAGATTTGGTTCGAGGAGTGATGAGCTGCGAGGGCGGTTGTGAGGGTATCCGGGTCATCGTCTAGGAAGATGTACTTGACGGTCGGGTGATGGGTGGTGTTGGCCGTGGAGTTGGAGACGAGGGTAAAGAAACCGGCGGGATCGAGCTTGGGCAGAGTGGCTTCGTCGACGGCCTCGTTCTCAGCTGCGTCATCTGCTTCCAACGTGGGGACGATGGCCGTTGTTGTATCGGCGCCAAGTTTGTTGTCGGATGGTGAGCCGGCAAGGGCGGCCTTCTGGCCTTGTGAGAAGGACGAAGACAAAGGCGCCTGGGCGGGCTGTTCGGCCTCGGGGCGCGGGGACGTCGGGACGTCGGCCATCGTCAGACGGTATAGTTCCTCCGTGGTCGCGTGATCCTTTCGAGGGGGAATGTATTCCCAGGGTGGTCGGGGTCGGCGAGGCGGGCGGCGGGGAGTTGAGGTGTTGGTATCGACAGTGTCCCTCGCGTCGCGCTGACTGTCATCTTTTCCTGGGATAGTATGGGAGCTGCGGTCGGAGGTGGTCTCGAAGATGAGCTGCAGGGTGGCACGGGAGCTAGCTGGATAGCTGTTGGGCGCCATGGTGGAGCGGTTCCAGGCTGCTGGGGACGGCTTATCGCTATCGCCACGTGACAGCGGGGTGCCTGATCTGGCATGTGATTGCGAACCTCCAACTTTGAACATCAGTTCAACAAGTAGAGGTATAAGATCCGGAAACTGCATTGCCCTCAACAGTGATCTCGTGTCAGAGACATATATAGGAGAATATTCTACGACAATTCATGATCCTCTGACTTCTTCTTCGCATGCACAGTCAAGCTAAGGCCATGCTTTTCTCACCTCAGGCGTTGGTCTCAGGTCAATGGAATGAGACGTGATTGTTGAAAGCGTCTTTGCTTGTCACTGCCACTAACACTATAATATTGATCAATCTTGATCCGAAGAATTCTGAACCCTAAGTGGGAATCTTTTTCTTTGGCTCGCGATGGGGAGGCTGACAGGACCAGAAAGTTTGTCCGCCAGTCCAAAAGAGCCTTCGTAAGGGTCTTGGGTATCGCTAAAAACAGTTCGCCAAACGCCAACCATGTCAAATCATTTCCATGAGAAACCCCTAGCTCTCATTTGTCTCATTCTTTGGATCAGTGAACTCGAATTCTAGCATATGTTAGTTGGGTGTTGAGTCAAAGAGAATTTTGTCAAACATATGAGATGAAACTTACTTTGACGGCACATTGGGCATTGGCCCTTTGCTGAGTCCTGCTTGATCCACTCCAGGATACAATGCTTTGAGTTATGTCAGCATAGGCATTACGGTGATAAGCAAAGACAAACACTTACCATATGGAAGTTGTGACCACACTTGCCAGACACTAGTTGTTATTAGTTACGCAATGGTGTTATGGGAGGTTGGAAAGAACATACGGATGCTGCAGTCATCGCCAGGGTATTTGCAGGTTGGACATGTGCCGTCAAAGTGGACTTGGCAGATACCACAGACATCGTCTTCTGGGATATCCCACCGCCACGTCGCGACGGTGTTCCACCGGGTGATCTTGACCTTCATGAGGGATGTTGTTGTCGCTAGGGTTTGATATCTGCGGAATATGATTTGTTTGTCGTCAGTGTTTTCAGACAAACACTGTTGCGAGAAAGAGTGATATGCTTGAATGAGACCCTCTGTTTCTTTGCATGAAGTGGTAATCTCGTTGTCGTGATTTTAGCCCTGGGGCTTTTGTTTGTTGGAGTTGGGAAGGCGGGACCACGGCGGACTGGCAACTGCCCATGGAAGGTGGGACTTGTGAAAACTGCGGGGCAAAAGGGCCCTGTAGCCAGTCAATCATGTCAGAACCAGATGGCGACATGGCCCAAGCTCCCCGCATTCACACCAACCGTTCCAACTTCCGGAGTACGTACAGCCAGTCGGCCACCGCACCTTGTCGCTTTTTGCTTCGTTTTCCCAGGCGGTTTGTCGCGATGCTCCACTTAAACGGAGTCACTGGTGACCGGCCGGACCCCGACCTCCTCTGTCTCCGCCCGCTTATCACTGACTGGGAACCAGTGTACGCCCCCCGAATTCCTGCGACTCTGACAATCCCTCCAAGGTAGAGGGTACCCCATTCCCATTCCATCCAATCCTTGCGGCCTGGCTACATTGCTCCTTCTCCAAAAAATCCCGTCCGACACCACCACCCATAACCACCAGTCCACCACCACCAGTAGTGACCACCGACCGCGGCGTCCAGAACAAACAACCATCAGCAAAAGGGAAGAAAACGGTAGTGACGGCAAGCCTCATTTAGAGCTTTCCCCTCTTCCACATTACCTTCCAATTACCTTACCTCCAACCCCGCACTGAAAACCACCATATGCAATGCCTCTGCGGCTCAAGCATTTGTGGTGATTTTCCTCTTTCCCTCTAACCCTTCCGAAAGGTAAAGGGCCCAGCGTTCCGGGCTCCCGCCCACTGTCGTCGTCACCGACTAATATCGACCGACACCGCTCCTCCCGACCCGGCAATCCCTCCCAACCTGATCTGACATCACCCGCCCATACCAGAACCAGTTGATCCAGACACAGTCAAAATGGTTACCATCGCTATCCTACGACCCGCGCGCGGCACAAAGCTGTCGCAATTCACTGCGCGCTCTCTCCAGGCCACCGCCGCCTTCGCTGCCCGCCGCTCCTTCTCCTCCTACCTCGTCACCCCCAAGGAGCTCGACGAGGCCCTCAAGAAGAATCCCCCCTCCAAGATCAGCCCCGAACCGCGCACCATTCCCCTTTGCGCCTCCTGGTTCCTTCCCAACGATGGCCGCACCGGCATTGAGGTCTACCGTCAACAGCGGATTCCCAAGGCCCGTTTCTTCGATCTCGACAAGGTCATTGACCGCCGTAGCGAGTACCCCCATATGCTGCCTTCCGCCAAGGACTTTGCAGCGGCCATGAGCGAGCTGGGCATCCGTAAGGAGGACACCGTCGTCGTCTACGACACCAAGGAGCTGGGCATCTTCAGCGCCCCGCGCGTCGGCTGGACCCTCAAGATCTTTGGCCATCCCAAGGTCCACGTACTGAACAACTTCAAGCTCTGGGTCGAGCAAGGTCTTCCTACCGAGTCTGGCGAGCTCTATAATGTCGAGTGCTGTACCTACCCCATCCCCAAGTTGGATGAGGGTAAGGTCGCTGAGTTCGAGGAGGTGCGCGAGATTGCGCTGGACCACAACAAGGAGGGCGCAGAGGGTGTACAGATCCTTGATGCGCGGTCTCCCGGCCGTTTCGCGGGCACCGATCCGGAACCCAGGCCTGGTCTGTCGTCTGGCCACATGCCCGGCTCCATTAACATCCCGATGACCGCTGTCCTGGATCCCGAGACCAAGACGTTCTATCCCGCGGAGAAGCTCAAGCAGATTTTTCAGGAGAAGGGTGTCAACCCTGAGAAACCCATCGTCTCGAGCTGCGGAACCGGCGTAACTGCCTGTGTCATTGAGACCGCTCTCGAGGAGGCTGGATGGGGCTCTCCTGAGACGCGCAGAGTCTACGATGGAAGCTGGACGTAAGTTCTATTAATTCTTACCAATACCTGGACTTTTGATAAGCTGACATATTTCATAGTGAATGGGCACAGCGGGTCAAGCCTTCTGACTCACTCATCAGGAAGAACGAATAAGAGATGGAGCGAGAGAGTGCAGCGTCGAGTTGCGTCTAGTTGCGATACCCTCACTACCCCACTTCTGGTTTTCTCTGGTTTTCATGTACGATATCCGGCACATCACAGCTTTGGAGTTTGCATTGCGCATGGAAGAGGTTCGTCAGCCTTTTGGTCGTTTAGGGGAGGGACGCAGGTGGCTGGTGTACATAGCAGGCCACGGTAATGGATCACGATTATGGACAATTTGTGTGTTTGGATGCCTTACAGTGCGCATATGAGTGAGGAGAGATAATGTGTGTCGACAAGGTACGTCCCGGTACTATGGATATGTTCATAACTGACGAAGCTGCAATTTCTCTCCAATTTGATGGCCGAGAACATCCTACCCAATTGAAGTGTGAGACCACCCAAATACAGTGAGCTTGCACGCGTGACACACTGTGCTTCAACTCGGTGTGGTTCGGTGAGCAAACCACCCAGGTGGAGACCCCCACCCTTCACCTTGGATTCCTGCCTCGAAGCTCAGGCCACCTTCTTAGGGCTCGCCAAACCCGTCCAATGAGCCCGCCTTGAGCACAATCGCAAAATATTCAGCCGGCCCTGACAGCCACCACAGACCCCCGCAAAAAAAAGTTGTACCCGAATCGCGAAATAACTTCCTCCCCCTTCGAAACACCACGCATCCGGACTAACCGCAGCAGCAGTCTTTTTCACTCGCGCGCTCAACACACCTTACCCGACGACACAAAATGGCTGACCGTGGTGCAAGCGCCCCCGCCCGTGGAGGTGGTGGTTTCGGAGCTCGTGGCGGTGACCGTGGCCGTGGACGTGGCCGTGGTCGCGGACGTCGCGGCGGCAAGAGCGAGGAGAAGGAGTGGCAGCCCGTCACCAAGCTCGGTCGTCTCGTGAAGGCCGGCAAGATCAGCTCCATGGAGGAGATCTACCTTCACTCCCTGCCCATCAAGGAGTACCAGATTGTCGACTTCTTCCTGCCCAAGCTCAAGGATGAGGTCATGAAGGTGCGCACACACAACACTCCAATTCGACCGGGAACCGAGATCGATTTTCGCAGACGACGACGCAACAATCGCCAATGCAGATGAAGATTTGGGTTCTCGGGCGTCATTTGGGATATCAATGCTGGTTTTTGGAGAAGGAGGGAAATGCTAATTCGTGGTTTCTTTTCCCCAATTGCAGATCAAGCCCGTCCAGAAGCAGACCCGTGCCGGTCAGCGCACCCGTTTCAAGGCCATCGTCCTTATCGGTGACTCTGAGGGACACGTCGGTCTCGGAATCAAGACCTCCAAGGAAGTCGCTACCGCTATTCGCGCTGCCATCATCATCGCCAAGCTTAGCGTCATCCCCGTCCGTCGCGGTTACTGGGGAACCAACCTCGGTGCCCCCCACTCCCTGCCCACCAAGGAGTCTGGAAAGTGCGGTTCCGTCACCGTCCGTGTATGTACACCCCGAAAACGACTCTGCGTATAAAACGAAGATGGGAAGACTGACTAGATGGAATCCTCCAGCTCATTCCCGCCCCCCGCGGTACCGGCCTTGTCGCCTCCCCCGCCGTCAAGCGTCTCCTCCAGCTCGCTGGTGTCGAGGACGCCTACACCTCCTCCGCCGGTTCCACCAAGACCCTCGAGAACACCCTCAAGGCCACCTTCACCGCCGTCTCCAACACCTACGGCTTCCTTACCCCCAACCTGTGGAAGGAGACCAAGCTCATCAGATCGCCTCTCGAGGAGTACGCGGACACCCTGCGTGAGGGCAAGAAGTACTAGAGGATGTGCGAATGATGGGGAGAACGTCGGCGGCGAGGAGATGAGAAGAACAAGTGTCGGCTTCGGGATTTCTTCATGGAGTTGCGTGTGTTACACTGCATCGTTGGTTGGCCAGGGCATGACATTAAGGCTAAGGGCAAACTAGCTCCGGATCTGAAAATAAAGATCAAACATTGAATGCAGCCGACGGGTTTTTCAAAACAAATAAGTACGGGCATGAATTTTACGATACCTTCCAGACAAAGTCCCCTCGGCCGAGTGATATCATGTTGAAGCGCCATTCTGCGGAGCAATTTGGGATTCGAAAAGGATGGGTCGAAGTAATGATTCGGCAGCAGCATCGCCGGCAACTAAACATTTCAAAAATCCTTGATCAAGCGACATAGGGACGTCGACGGGCTATGGGACAGCGCATTAGATATTGACCATCATTCTTCCTACTGCGCTGATACTTGGAGAGTTTCTCGACATACACCTACTTGGTCATGTTTTCTATCCTTGAGGATGCACGGCAAAATATAAGTTCTCGAGACAGAAGGTACAAGCCACACAAGGAGGGAAGGTAACGATAATCTGGCTCTGTTTATAGATCTAGGCCCTGCGTACATAATGCAGCATACGAACACTCGCTCGATACCTGATTCACATTGACACCACCCAATCACAAAGCGCACAGTTGAAACGTGCACATTTCAATGAAGTACGAGGGATATGTTCATGACAACCCGGATCTAAAAGTACGAAGCACACGTAACCAACTCCCACCCAAAACGTCTCAAGCAAACAACGAACAAGAGATACCCTCTCGTCTTAACCCAACCAACGAGGCCTACTTCTCCGAATCGCTACCCTCCTGAGCCGCGACGTTAAATCGTACTTGTCTCTGCCGCGGTGGATGCCGTGGTGGGAACAGCGACTGCCGGCCCGTCGCCGGCGTCGGCTGAGTTTCCTCCGCACTAGCCCCACCCGCTACCGACGACGTCCTTCGCCCCGAGGGGACCCAGGCCGGAACGCTTCTCGGCACCAGGTCCGGATCAATTTCTATCAATTCAGGGATTTCAGCGCCGGGCGTCTGGACCGCCTCACGACTGATCCATCCCGCTCCGCGAGGCGCAATGCCGTCGTTGGGAAATAGCTCTTCTGTGAGACAGAAGAATTAGTAAATCAAATCACACTTCTGTGTCGGTGATGAGTGTGTGCGCAATTCGGAGGACTCACCATTGATCATCGCCTCCGCGCGCCTCTCAAGATCCCGCCTCTGCGACTCGGTATCGCCACCCCAGTACTCCGTCACACCAGGGAAAAAATCGGTCCTCCGATCGTCGCCAACATGATACGGCACAGAAAGCATCTGCGCTATCTGCGTCTGCCGAATCTCGTCCGCAGTAGGTCTCACGCTCTCCGCGAGCCTCGCCATCTTCGTCCGCAGCTCGTCGGCCTCGGCCTGCTTCCGCAACCCCTCGTCCGTCACGCTCCGCCTGATCTCTTCCTGCCGCTCTCTGCTCTGCAGATGCACCGGCCACCGGTTCATCGAAAAGAATTGCCGCTTCTTCTTACCGCACACGCCGGGAGACGCCCAGTCCCAGATCCGCTCGTGGTGCAGCGTCATGAAGCGCTTGTCGTCCCGGCGCCTGTGGAACCACCGCGGCCGACTGGGCCACAGCGTCCCGTGGCCCCGCGAGAGCTCGTCTATGATGCCCCGCCGGACGACCTCGCGCGCTTCTTCCTCCGTCATCTCCTCCGTCCACGTCTGCGGCTCGCCTGCCTTTACGACGCTCTTGTATGACACCCGCGGCGTGACCGTGTCCTCCTCGCCGGGCCTGTTCCGCGAGAAGCTGCTGCCCCACATGCCCAGGACGTCCTGCAGCTGCGTCTTGCGGTACTCCCAGTCGTTGCCGTGATTAAGGCGCTGGCTGATGATGGGAAGGTTCACGACACACCTGGCGAGCTCGACGCCAAGGCGGTAGCCAAGGGTCCAGAGGAGCTCCTTTGTCAGCGTGCGCGTCAGGTTGATCTCGTCCAACTTTGCGAAAGCCGAGGGCCATTCCCACGTGACGAATGGGTTTGGAACGTTGAGGCGGTGGTACAAGAGCTTGTTGTGGTCCGTTTCTTGGGCCCAGTCGGTGCCTATGTCCCAGTTCATGCGGTGTTCTGGGTGCCAGTCGTTTTTGGGTCGGCTAATGGAGACCTCGCCAGTTTCTGAGCGTTCGTAGCTGAGAGGTTTCGTTTTGTTAGTATCATTTCTTTTACACTTTCATCAGATGAGGAATGGATTTACGTGAGTCTTCCATATTCGGCCAGCACCTTACTGTACTTATTCACCAAATCATCAGTGAAGAAATAATCGCCCGTTCGAATCCCGTCGTTGAGGGCACCGGCAACCCGCGGCAGCGTGTTCTTGCGATCCTGCCCCGCAAAGAGACACACCTGGCTCGGCTCGTTCAGCAGCGCCTGCATCCGCGCGACAAACACGTCAAAGTCGCGCCCCAGCTTCGGGAGCACCGACTGCTGGGCCTTGACCGTCGTGGACGGCCCGCAGACAAACTTTAGCCAATCCACCTCCCATTGTTTGAGGGGGCGACAGTGTCCGCCGTTCTTCTCCCGATGGGCAGCCAGGACCTCCTCCACGTCCCACGAGGGCGCCCCCTTGAGCCCGTACTCGATGTTCTTGATCACTCCCTCGAGCATCTCCCGCGGATCTTTATTGTACGCACTCGTGAGTTTCTCGCGGAGGATGCGCAGGTGATGAAAATCGATGAGCACCCTCCTCTCGCTCTTCCTCAAGAAATGCCAGGGTGTGACGGGACCGTACAGCTGCTCGGGGAGCCTCACCGTGTCCTTGTCGACCCCCATGTCCTCCAGCAACTTCTCGTGACTACGCACCGTTTTCTTCCACAATGTATACGCGCGGACGCGGTGGGCAGCCTGCATCTGGTTATGCCAGTACGTGATACCGAGCGGGTCAAGCTTCGTCCCCGGCGGCGGCGCCTTGACGGAGTGAGGCTTGTACACGATATCCCGCTTCGCATCAGCCAGCGCAGCCGCCTTCTCCCTCTTGGTCAGCGGCAGCACCAATTTCCGAAAGGGACTCGCGAGCGCCACGTTCTCCTCGCTGTTGAAATGCGAGAGACACTGCTGCAGCGCCGCGCGCTTCGCGCCTCGAAACCGGGCGAAGCGCTGCTGCGTCTCGCCCTCGGGGTAGAATTTCTGCAACTTGCGCGTCTTGCCCTCGTG